AAATAGACAGCAAAACATGAAGTAAAAAGGCATACGCAAGACAGGTCAAGTAAAATCACCATGCTGGGATACTAAAGTGAAGTTACTACCAAAATATTATGGCTTTTTTTTCATCTTAACCCCTGGGTAGGAAAGTGGGATGTCAGCCCTACCCCATTCAAGTTGAGTAACAAAATTCACTCATACTTTTGTAGAGGAGTTATAAATCTGAGCAAATAATTATAAACCTTTTAACATTTATATGCACATAAAAACAAAAAACAGCAAAACATGGAAACAACAAAATGAATATTATTTATTATCTGATTGTTATGTGGTGTTGGAGAAATGAGAGAAAGTAATACTGAGTAAATTGTGAGTATGGGGTCAAATTTAGATTAAATATGGGTCAGAATCTAACAGAATAATAATAAGATAAAGAATAAATAAAGTGTATAAGTCTTTCTCATATGTTTTTATAGGTGTATGTAATAAGTGTCCAGATAATTTAGTTGGAAAATATAAAGTGTTTGGAGTTTTCTTGTCTCTATATTTTTTTTTTTTTTTGAGTGCTAAGAGAAAAATGTTACTATTATGGCTTAAAAAAGAAGCCAATTTTTTTGTTGAAGGCCTATCTGTGTTAACTGCTTCTCCCATAGTGAGAATGTCACATGTTTGTGTGTGTAGAGGAGAAAAGTGGAGTTGATTGTTATTAGTTTAGAAAGAGTTAATTAATGATAATTGTAATTGTTATAATTATATTTGACATTATAATTGATTTTTATTTATTTTTTTATAGGCACAACACAGTGACAGTATAATTAATTTTTTATTTATGCACTTCTTTATGGACAGCACTTTTAAAGAAGGAAGCATAAAAGTTGCCATAGGTTGTAAAAAAGATAAAGCCTTAAAGAGAAAGAAGATAATTTAAAGTTATTGGGCAATGGGGGAACAAAAGTTGAATCAGGATCAAAGAACAAAAAAAAATTAGCTTTAAGAATGTAAGAAAAAGAGATTTAAGAAACCAAAATTAAAAGCAAGGAAATATTTGAAGCAGTTGACATTACAAATGTAAACAGAGAAAAAATTCTGAATATTTAGGTTGATAGGAAAGCTCAGGGCTGTTGTAAGCAAGTCCATTAATACTGAACAACCAGATGAATAGGGTTGAAGTAATGAAGGCCAAGTATACCAGAAGATAAGGGTCTATGGTAGTCAGAAGTAGTAAAGGCTTGGAATGTCAGAATTAAGATGCTGGTAGATAAGTCTGTGGTAGCTGGAAATAATAAAGGCTAGGAATGCTGGAAGGTAAAGACCCGTGGTGGCTGGGAATAAGGGTCCATGGAGGCTAGAAGTAGTAAAGTCCAAGAGTGCTGGAAGTAAGAAAGGATAGAAAAGCCCAACTAGTGTTCAGTTGGTAAACAAAAAATAAATTAGAATGTAACTTAATATATAAGTCCTTCACGCACCCTGGCCACAATGGCCAGTGGTCTGCATTTCTCTTCCTCCTCATCCTTGGGTTCAGTGAGAAGTCACCAGCTTATATGGAAAGGGAGTGTGAACATTAACTAGTCTAGCAAAGTACTAAAAATCTCAAGAAGAATAAACTGAGATGTGCTATGAAATGTAAAAAGTATAAAAATGTTCATAAAATGTATTCTGACTAGGTTTCTAACACTAAAGGAAATACAAAGTCATTAGGCTTATTATGAAACTAACTTAAATTGGCAACACAGTGAAAAAAAGGTCAAGGTCATGAAGACACATAACGTCTGGCCTTGGTCACATGGACTGTGTAGCAAAGAGCTATGATAAAACTGATTTTTCAACAGTAATTTTTCCATTGTGAACTGTATGGAATGTCTGATTGAATTCATATGATTCAACAGTATTTCCACATCTTCCTGGAGGAGCTTCAGTATAAAGGTATTATCTTCATATCTAAACCACATGGTTAGCTTTAGTGATGATGTTTCTATAGCTATTTTCTCAAAGTATTCCATGTATATGTTTACTATTACTCAAAGTAAAAATATATATATTTGACAATCCTAAGGTTTTTGAAAGGTTAAAAAATACAATGACAAGACATCTAAAGAAGGCTGGAGAGTATAATGGTTGAAATGTTGTGAATATTTCAACCAAAATAAACATGATGGTCCAAATAATAAAGTCTATAATAACGATTTTACATCTCAAAAATTAATTATTTCAACAGTAGACAACCTTCACTTAAAAGGCAACTTAGTTTTGCAAGGAGTGCAGTTGTTAACATGTTTAATATATATTTTATAAAACAAGTGTAACAGGTTGAGATTGGTTACAGGAAATTTGGTTTATATTGTTTCTGGTTTAACATGTTGTTGGCCATGAAGTGGTAAATAAAACATAAAGACTCATTGTTTGTTTTTTTTCAGCCAAATAAAAATGAAATAAATAGAAGGAATACATTCTATTGCATGAATAGAAAGTATTATCATGTTATGCCTCCTGGTAAATTTGTTGTGCAAACAACTCATGTGAGTTTGGTTAAAATAGACACAAAACATGAATTCAAAAAACAATTAATAAATGTATGTGTTACAGGAGGCTAAAGAAAGAAATACAGCTGTGAACAGTTCAGTACAATCTTGTCTGTGTCTCTGAAGTAATTCCATTCCTAGTATCTATTAGAGCAAAAAGAAATATGTTGACACTCCAAAAGTCAAAGGGAAAAAGAGGGAGAGCCATTCAAATATCATGCCACCTTATTGACAGGACAGTAATCCAAGACTTCTTTTTTACTTAATTTTTTAAAAATAATTTCACCCCAAGCAAAGCAATAAAGCCACTAAGATGAAAGAGGTTACTGAATGTTAAAGAATATTAAGGAGAATAAAAGAACAACAATTAAGAAAACTTTTGAAAATCAGCTATAAAATGATGGGAGTTAACAAAGTCCCATCATTTTATAGCTGATTACAACCAATTTTGTATTGTCCTTAACTTCACAAAGTCTAGGTACCATAGAGAAAAGTTCATCAGAACAATTACCATGAAAGTATTTATAGAAAAGGCACAGGGAAACTATATTATGGCAGTGAGAAAGGGACTGAAGTTGAGATACCAGGTCAGGATCAATAACATTGCAGATTCTTTGGATTTTATCAAGAATCTCTAAAAATATAGGAGCACCAGACCAGATGTGGCAGCAATATTCAAAGCAAGGGCAAATGGTAAACTTCACAATTCTTATCTAAATCTTGATAGAGTCAACAATAATTGTTAACACATCAGCAGTTGGCCTAGAGACACAAAAGCCATATTGTTTATCTGAAAGACCCTGTGAGGTGAAATGCTTAACTAATTCAGAATTACTGTATTTGCCAGCATGAAGGATGCATTTCTTTTCCTGAAATAAGTCTCAAAATTTTGCTGTGCAAAGGTTTTTGTAGGCCTATGCTAACACCAGAGGAAGGTTATCTATGGAAGATGGTAAACTAAATTCCTGTATATTATGGAAATTTTTGAGTTATTTCAGGAAAAATTGCATCCTTGATGCCAGCAAATAGTGTAATTAGGGCCTCTAATACTTTGCCAGTTATATTATTAGTATTAGGCTAATAGAAGGATCAGCTGGTTTGCCTGAGTTCTTAGACATTCCAGAAGAGGATTTCCAATAAGCAAAAAGCAGCAAGGCATTTATTGTAGAGTTAGAAAGAAGACATGAAAAAAAAAAAAAAAAAAAAAAAAAACAGGGAGTACATACCATTTGCAAGTGTAGCAGTTTCAGTCCACAATCCAACCTAAGCAAATTGACTTTATGGAAGTTTTCTGATCTTGATATATAATTATTTTTGTTGAAACACCCAGTTTTAGAGGAAAATTTTGTGAAAAGAAGAAATAAAATCACAATATGAGTACCAGAAGAAAAAAAAAAGTGGGTGTTTCAACAAAATAAAAGTAATTTTAATTTTAAAATCACAATAAAATTTTTTTATTGTTCCTCAACTGAAAAAGAATCGACATTTGCTTCCATTTATTCACATAGATGTGAAGAAAATATGTACCACCTCAAAATGTCTTTTCAAGAAAGGTAAATTTAATTTAAAATGATAGAATACAATTCCTTTTTCAGCAAATCATTTATTGGGTTGCATAATACCTAGCTGGCACATTGTCACTGCTACTTGTTTATGTTTCACTTCATCAACCTGTCATTTCATTCCCTTTTTATATAAGAACATTTGAGCCTTTCTGGCATTGATCTAGCTTTTTTTTTTTTTTTTTGAGATATTCATGATGTTTCTTTGTTTAAAAAGAATAGATGGCCTTTCAGGGAATGCATCCATTACAAAGCTCCTAACACAAGATATAAATTTGAAATTTTATTTTGAATAAACATAGCAAGAATTTTTCTTTGGAATTTGGGAAATTTTAAAAGACCATAATACAGCCCTCATGGTAACTAAGTAGGTTGAGGAAGATAAGTCTTACAAAATCTTAATGAATTCTACATGGTTTATTTCAGGTTTGAATCTTCCCAGAGCATTCTCCAAACTCATTTATGGTGTCTAATTATTTTTAATTTGTTTTTTTTTCTTCTCCTGAATGCCTATTTAATTCCTGCGAGTTTTGTTTAATCTTAATTAGTTCCTCCTTCATCATTGAACATTCTCATGTCTAACCAGTGTTAGTTGGAATAAACATGTAGAAAATCAACATGCATATGTAGTCAAGTGAGATAGACTATCTTGTGTTACACCCAGAACAAACTGTTTCCTACTACTGATATACAATATCCAGAAACAAGCAAACAAATGAACCTTGTAGATCACATGAAAGTAACTTTTTTTTTTTAATTATCTCAACCACATCTCCATTCATTTTGTCACTTCCACTATTTTTGTGTTAACTGTTAGTTGGGCCACCATTAGAACTTGGTTAGAGTTGGACATGAAACAATGAAAGGTAAATGTATTGAAAGATTCAGTTCAAGGGCACAAGGATTATACTGCTTATCCCCTTCTTTATTACAGAATCTCAATATGCCGAATTGGTGGAGTTCCTGCGACAACCACTGCAGCTGCTTTACTGTGCAGATAAAATTTTGGTTGACCACAGTATCCCAAAATGTCCCTATGAGTTATCCTCTCTGGTTGATGAGGAACCAAGCTCCAAATAAAATTGTAAATTAATTTTTTTTTAATTGTTTTTCAGGATTTTCTAAACATTTTTGATATTGTATGGTTTTCAATTTCCAAGGTTTTTGAAAATAAAACTGAATGATTTAATACTTATAATTAGACAAGACACCACATCCAAAAGTTTAGGAAATTTGAACATTGTGTATAAATTGAATATATGCATTTTTGTTGCTACTCACATTGTATACATGAAGTGAACAAACTCAGAGAAAATAGTAGAAACTCAAAATTAATGTAATTCCAGAATCAATAAAACATGAGTTTGGGATGACTGCTTATAGTTTTTATGACAATGCTGGGACAATTCAACATTTTAATTAAACTAAAACTGTATTTATTCTAATAGCATTTAATTTTTCAAAATTAAAAATTTCTTACTTTTCACCAATAGTGACAGGCTTTTAATAAGTGAAGTAAATAAGCACGTCTGTGCACCCAAAATCAAAAATAAATAAATAAACAAAACATAAGTACTTCTTTTTAAACTGGTCCATGAAACCTAATGAAAAATGATTTTTGAAGGACTTAAATTTAGATATTTCTATTATCTATCTCTAAATGTGAAAAACATAAGGATGTAATTTTAAAAACTAATTTTACTTTCATAAACAAAGAGAGAAAAATATTTTTTTTCTCTGAATTTTGTTGAAATACTTGAAGAAATCATTAACAAACATTTGTTATATTTTCTGATTAAATTAAAAATACAACAGAAAATATAAATTTCAGTCAAGAGTCAAGGCAGATAATTGTGAATGAACATTTTATTTTTGGTAGACTAAAATTCTTTTTGATTGTGAACTGTTGGAATGCACTTATTTTTTTTTTATATAGAAAATGAATGTATAGAACAATTCTTATAAGTTATTCTGTTCATGAAAAAACATTTTCATAAAAGATGAGTTAACTCAAATGTCTTAATAAAGTTGTAATTTTTATAAAAATTACAAAGTTTGACAAATGTTTTTTTCATTTTTTTAACTTTAATATTTCCTAAACATTTTAATGGTGTTTTTATTCTGATACTAACAACTATTTATAAGCTTATACATTTTGATTTGGGACAATTAAAATTGCTTTTCAGGATGGTCCTGGGATGATAAAAAAAAAAAAAAAAAAAAAGTTAGTCGGGAATCTTAATAAAAAAAAATCTTAATAGATATTTTTTCATAGTTAAATTCATTGAACTTATTTTGTAGTGTTTCAATGGTAGTTTTTTTTTTTTTTTATGAAGTGTCATTGTATGAAAATAGGGAACAGTATAATTCTTCATCTGATGAATTTGTCTTTCCTGAAACTTTCTCATTATTAACCAGTTTTCTTGTAAAAGCCTTTTTTATCTTTAAATAAAGCTGTTCAAGTGGAAAGAGATTATGTTGTACCAATCATTCAGGTGGGGAAGATCTAGGCAAGAACACCGACTGCTGATCTGTCAGAAATCATTTACCTACCAAGCAGGATATTATATATCTACAATTCCTCACTTTTTGTTTTTTTTTAGCCCAATTTTTAAATCTTTAAATGACCATTTTACTTTCTTTAAAGCAAAATATCATGTGATAACTATTTTTCTTCATTTTGAGAACATAAACCACAATAATTAAATTTATACTAAGTTATTACTTAATAAGTTTAGCTTAATTTTGACAGAAGGTCAAAAGTACAGGGCACCCAGGGGATATTGAATTCAATACGCAATAATAATGGCCAATTGGACTACCTTGCTGACAATTACCTCATCATTTGTACAATTTTAAGAATTTATTCATTCTTTCATTAACCTAAGGTAATATAATGGACAGGGATAATTATCTATGTTCAAGAAATTCTACCAAGGTACAGGGTTGGTGGGAGCTCCTGCTAATAAGTATAAGTACATGTAAAACCATTGTTTTTCTCTTCAAACTTCTAGCAGATTGCAAGCTGATTTCTTCTCAAAGCATAGCCATTTTCATAGAAATTGTTGCACACTAAATTCAACTTGTTTTAAAATTGATAACTTTTTGAAATTGGCTATGCTTTCATACAAAACTTGTCATTCAAGAACATTTGAAAAACGCTTTCAACTTATCAAACTTATTGCTCAATTTGGTTAAAAAAAAAAAAAAAAAAAAGCACATGAATTTTTTGACTAAAATTTTGGTTATTAGTTTCTTATAATGTATTAATATGAAAAAGTATGATTGTCAAATATATTTTGTTTGATTTTCCTAAGATAACTCAAGAACACTAAAAGCTTTGAAATTATCTTAAAATTTTATAAAATGTTTATTCCATTCCCTTATACAATTCTCATTAAGATTTTTAAAAATTAATGTTTTTTCAAGTAGTAAATCTATGTTCATGAAGCTTCATTTAAAAAAAATGAAAAATGAATGCCCTTATTTATGTAAATTGATTTTAATTATTAACTATGTATACTGGCAATATCTATTATAATGAAATAAGTATTTTCTTCACTTTTGCAATAGAAAAAAGGCAGATACCAGCAGATGTAACAAGTCTCAAAATTAAAAAAAAAAAATTTGGCTTTTCATGTTTTTTTTTTTTTTCTCAATCTTTGTTGCTGTTTTTGTAAAATGTTGAAGACATTCTTTCTACAATATCATCTAAAATGTTTCTAATTTGTTATCAATAGTGATTATTTTTTATTTGTGCTTTTGGTTGTGTGTGTGTGTGTGTGTGTGTGTGTGTGTGTGAGTGAGAGACTCCAAAGTCCAAAACTTAGTAGGTTTGCAAATCAAGGAATGCTTCTTATATTTTCAATTGGAGGAAAGTGTTCATCTAAAACATCACCCATCCCCTTCCACATTGGCACCCAGTAATTGAGATCTTTTTGAATTAAAAAAAATATTTTGATCACATCTGGCCAAATAACATTAAAACAACAATTGCATGGGTGTATGTAACCATGGGCATTTATATAGATACTCAATAAGCATTTCTGGCCTCAAATATAAATTTGTCACTTGTGGAGGCTCTTGCATTTAAAGAGAGCTAAAACTTTTTTTTTTTTTTTTTACTTAACATAATGGCTTCCTGTTATATTGGAATTTAAGCTTATATTTTTATTAAAGTATGCAAATGGAAAAATGCTCTTGCATTAAAAAATTCAAAGACTGTAGAAATATTTCTCAGGTGAGTTACACTTCAACAGGTTTTCATTTATGTTTATTTAACATTAGCAAAGTTTTTGTTGTCATGACAAACAAAAATACTCTAGGTTCAAGTAGAGTTAAGGAAAACTTAATTTTTGGTGTCCCTGAAAAAGTCATTATTATTTTATTTTACTTTTCATCTGTAGGAAAAAAAATATGAAAATGACACTTGAAAATGGCATTAAACTTTTTGATTTAACATAAAGTTTATCAGAAATGACCAAGATCTGAAATTTTCAATATCTTACTGTAAAAATACATTTTCACAAGCAAATATACAGAATTTTGCTCACTTGTGTGTGATTTTTTGGGGGAGGGGAGGGGGATCTTATTCAAATTAGGTATAGGCAACACCACAAAATAAGTGTTCTTGAATTCTTTTACAATTTCACTATATTTCCGTGTTCACAGCTCTTAAAAAAAGATTTAATGATATAAGGCCATCATGCATATATAAATATAAAAAGAGTAAAAATTAGTAACATCTAGTACATATTAGCCAGAAGCTAAGTGAGTGTGTATGTGGCATATGTTCTATATTAAATAACTTCCACAAAACTGTAGAAAGATTCATAGTTCATTCTTTAATGATGACATTCCCAATGAAATTAGATAATCCGATACTTATGCGTTTGTGTTGTGAGAAAAGAGAGAAAGAAAAAAAAGAGAGAGAAAGAAAGAAAGAAGAAAATGACTTGAATGGCAGCCAGCCTAGAAGGATAATAAAACCACTGAGAAACCAATAGGCAACCACTCAATTACCTTTCCCAAGTTATGGGAATTTACATAAATGGAACTTGTCAAGGGCCTAAAGGTGCGCTAAACAAAAAAAAACAAAAAACAAAACACTTGAAGTATGAAGGAGAGAAACTTACCTGGGCCACTGTACCAATAAATAGCTTCCCATAAAAACAAGAAAACAGACAAATCTATCAAAAATGCTACCTATTAACATTTTTTCTTCATTGCATCAGCATATTTATTCAGCATTGTTACATTTTTTTTTAAATAAAATCTCAGTTGGGCCACAGATAAAAGAATGAAACGAGAAAATAAAGAGAAAGAGGGGGGGAGAAAGAGGGGGGAATCATTTTTATTATTTCAAAGGCATCCAAATAGATGCTTCTATTCTTTACTGAAGGAAAATTAATTATTTCTCCAGGGACTTATATTTAAAAGTGTAAAACAAAAATTATTGAGAGAGAGAGAGGATGTGGAAAGGTGAATAAATTTAAATACTGAAATTTTTTATTAAAAATCCCTGATTTTAATGAATGACTTAAAATCAAGATAATTTTGTGTAAAAATTTACTAATGCAAATTATTATTTTTTTTGTAACTTTTTACAAATATCCTTGGTCCTATAGATAATTAGTTTTTTTCTTTAATATCAGGATTTCCCAATGACAAAGATTTTAACCATAAAAATAAATTTTATGTATGTCATTCACCTCGGGTGTTATCAATTTCCCAAAATTTTACTTCATGTTTAGAGAGTTAAAAAAAAAAAAAAAAAAATTTATATGTGCTTGGGGTGGAGGGGCACACATCTTTCACTGACAGAAAAGGCTTTCATCTCTTCAGTATTCCCATTAACTTATTGAAAAGATAACTGGCTAGCAAAACATTAGAAATGGGAATTTAATGAAAGTCTAAAAATGATGACATTTGATT